CAATAATAATAATAATAATAATAATAATAAAAATAACAATAATAGATAGATAAATAGCATTTGTCTAGCGCAAATCCCCTCTCAATTGCAAGCTCTATGAGCTTTTTAATCTATACTATTACCCCAGCAGACCTGAGAGCATTCTGAAACAAACCCAACTTCATGGGAATCATACAGTGCAAGCTGACAATTATGGGCTCTAAAACGATAACATACTTTTATATCTTTCTCTGTTTATAGCCAGGTACCAATGCCAAGAGTAGGCGTTGCCGGGTACCCATTCCCACCTGGATGAAGTGAGGAAAATTTGTATAAAGTGCCTTTCCCAAGGACACAACGTCGGCCCGCGGCTTGAACCCCCGAACCCGCAACCCCACGATTACGAGTCCGATAGCCTTACCGCTAGGCCACCGACCCCCCATGCTGTATCCCTATCAGCCCGAGTTGGCACTGACAGGCTATGTCAAAGACCTCACAAATTATCTCCCTCACCAGGGCAGCGCTACAGACTGAAGTTTGTCTTCAGGCCATACCCAAAGGGAATTAACATGTTCTTGAGAACAGTACAATTGTAAATGAGCTGATTTATCATTGTCATGCTCATGCTGTGCCAGAACAACGAAGGGGGAACTGCTGTTTTTTCTTTCTTCATCCTTACTAACGTCACCTTTCCTCTACTTCTTTTGTATATTTGTCACCCTCCTGTTAACTGCTATTTCTGGGGTGCCTTGGTAGTCGAAGTAGAATGTATGCTGTTGAAGCTAGTGAGGTGAGCAGAGTAAACCTGATTCCCCGTTTGGACTTCTCTGTTGACATCTATCCCTTGGCGCTCATATGATCTTATGCAGTTGCGAGCGCCGTAAAACCTTACTAAAACTAAATTGCCTAAATTGTGTCGATGTGGGCGTAAACTACTAACAAAAGAAAAAAAAACACGTTAGATCCAGATTTTGTTAATTGATATAAAAAAAAACTAGGAAGGGAAGACGCGGCGTAGAGGCCATGAAGTTCACTAAGCGTTTAAGGGATGGACCATCGGCTGAATTCTCCGCACGTTAAACGTGCTCAGCTTACCACAGGGCATTGTGCTTGGCTGTGCCAAAAACTGCTGCGAAAATTTTTTGTGCTATGCTTGTTTGGATTAAGTTCAAGACCAGACCTCATCAGCTCAAAGACACCACCAGCTGATTGAACAAAAACAATTCAGTAATTATTCAAATGGTTTTGTTTTTTTAAACTACTGAAAAATTAATCTCTTTAGTGGGAACATTTGCGATGATTTTCCCTGCCTGGTTTGGGAATGTTGTGAGGAGCACACAAATACAGCAATTGTTGAAGCAGAAAATGTTGTCTGATCCCACAGCGGCCCAATGGACACTAAATGACAGTGGCTGTTGAGAAATAGTTAAGTTGCCCGAATCTTTCTGACAGTAAGGATTTACCATGAGCTGAAGGTCCGAAATGAGGAAGGATGCGAGGCACGCAAAACAAAGAGAGAGCTGAAAACTGAACCATCTATAGGTAAGTTTACACACATCTCCTAGATCTAGCTGTTATAGAATTTATTTATAAATAATAGCGTTCCTTATCTTATAATATTGCATTTTAGGGGCACAAAGACCTTAGAGATATAGATAATATCTAGAATCTAGATCTAGATCTACCTCGTTCTTCAAAGTGCTTGTTTATTCATTCACCTATATTATATCTAATTTGTTTATCTTTGTATTAATGAGCCAACTCTAGGTGTAGAATCTAGATATCTATTTACAAATACGGTATTTGTTTATTATTTTAGGAATGGCAAAAAGCGCGTTGATCGGCTGATCGTGGGTGCATAATTATAAGGGTACCGGTAGGCGAATACTGGTTTCGCTGTCCGGCGTGCCTCGCGTAACGCGCTGACGACCTCGCGAAATGACTCGGCTCGCGGACAAGGGGATAGAGAGGCTACGCTTCGTCTTATCTTCCTAGTTTTTCCTGATATTAATGACTAAATTAGAAAGAAAGGGGGAGAGGGGTGAGGGAACAGACACAGTACACCAAAATAAATATCTCATGTGTATGTTTAATAGAAAAAAAGTTCGAGTGTCATGTGGCATCATACACACACCATAAACAAACACAGACACACACACATACACGCACATACATACACACATGTACACAAACACAAACACAACACACACTCTCTCTCTCTCTCTCTCTCTCTCTCTCTCTCT